CTCTGTGCATTATTGGTGCTCTCTGCAGGGTCTCTGTGCAGTATTGGTGCTCTCTACAGGGTCTCTGTGCAGTATCGGTGCTCTCTACAGGGTCTGTGGACAGTATTGGTGCTCTCTGCAGGGTCTGTGGACAGTATTGGTGCTCTCTGCGGGGCCTGTGGACAGTATCGGTGCTCTGTGTGGGGCCTGTGGGCAGTATCGATTCTCTCTGCGGGGCCTGTGGACAGTATCGGTGCCCTGAAACAGGAGCTGCGGTGCAGGATGAAGAAGTTCTGGAGACTGGGCAGACTGGGCAGACTGGGTAGACTGGGCAGACTGGAACAGGAGCTGTAGTGCAGGGTGAAGTTCTGGAGACTGGGCGGACTGGGAAACTGGCACATGGCTGTGCTCTCTGATATGGCTGCTGTCGACCTGAGTGCAGAGAGAAGCAGGGTCACGTCCTCCTGTCTTCGCAGACACAGCCCTGCTCCCTGGTCTCCTCTAGCTCTGAGCCCCAGCGTCTCCTTCTCTGCTTGTCGTCCGGGTTCGTCCTCCGGTCTCTTTTATTTCCATTTATTTTTGATTCTACCTCTGCCTTCGCTCTCGTTTTTTTTCTCTCGCCGTGCCTGCAGCCACTCGCTGGCCTAGTTTCGCGTGGAGCTGGGTAGGGTTTCTGCTCCCGTTTCGAGCAGGGAGAGACAAGGAGCACCAGCCGGAGCCAGCGGAGACCATTCCTGCACCACCTGCCCCTCCCTGTTTCCTCCTGGACACTCTGGTCCCTGTCCAGGACGGGCAGACCAGACAGCCGAGCTTCACTTAGCGCAGGTGTGTGGGTTGAGGTGCCAGGATCTTCAGTGATTCACCCCGATGGCGTGTGCACTAACGAACAATCCGTTCATTTCCCATACGGAGCAAATGAAACTCCCGTGGCGATCTGGCACAGTGACAGGGGGGGCGTGGCAGTACTTCTGCACCTCGGGCACTGGGATCCATTCTGGACCGGGGGGGGGTTGACTTCCGTGTGGAGTCTGCATGGTCTCCGTGCGGATTTTCTCCTGGTGCTCTCCAGTTTCCTCCCACATCCCAGAAACACAATCCCACCTTTGCGCCTGGTGCTTGTAGACAAGACAGGCGCTGGGTGGACAGCAGGTCTTACTCCCTCCGAATTTCCCACGCACAGCACAGGGGAACAAACATGCCCTCCAGGTCAGTCTGTCTTGCATTTCAAAGAACTGGACCTGTCCTGCGGGAATATAAATATATTTCAGCTCTAAAGGTCGGGTCACTTAATGAAATAGGTCAGCTGTTTAAAGGATCAATAACTTGGGCTTTTTTCCTTTTAGAAATGTTAAAATAAGTGATTAGGGTGACCTATATTTCTAGACTAGGGTTCCAGGTGGGTGACTTCTGGTGCTTAAGGCATATACAGTACAGTACATGCCCTACTATTCTAGTGAGTGGCTCTGAGGGGGTTAATTTTTAATACTACCCTGTGGCAGGAGCTAAGAGGTCACAGCCAACATAAATATCTGCTAATTTTGCATATATGGCCTTATAATTAAAGCCACAGTGTGTTGCAGGAATCAATAATATGTGCTTGGAGTGAACCTGGACAAGCCTGGCTGAAGCAGAATAAAGATTTAGTTTGCAGCTCTCTCCGGTTGCTTGGGGGCCAATGAACTATAAGATGTGTTGCTCTCTCAAGATATATTGACGGGATGGCGAAATTGTATTTTTATGATTCGGCAGGAGACTAGCCTATTATTAAAACGCGAGGATTTGGCTGGATGCTAATCAGATTTAGCGACTTGCTTTTTTATTGAAAAGTAATTTCATAGTTTATAAGCAGTGATCTTGTCACAGCAGGGCTTTTACTGTTCAGTTTTATTTTGAATATATTTGAGCCACATACTGATATTTATGTCACAGCATTGTGATAGTTTCTACCTGTCTGTTTTCTGACCACATCTTTCAGGGGTCGCAGAGGAGCTGAAGCCTATCCCAGCAAGCAAAGGGCATGAGGCAGGACACACCCTGGACAGGACGCCAGTCCATCACAGGGCACAGGGACACAAACACACACACTCACCAGTGTGAGCGGCCCTCACCAGGGCCAATTTTCCAAGAAGCCAGTTGACCTACCACCATGTGTTTGGACTGGGGAGAACATGCAAACTCCACACAGATAGCAGCACCCAAGGAACTGAACCCAGGTCCTCAGTGCTGTGAACCAGCGGTGCTGACCACTGCATCACCATGCCACCTACTATGATAGTTTATGTAATTCAATTTAATTTCTAAAACGATCAGACTCTGCACTTGCTCTAGGTCTCTTCCACAGAGCCAAATAGAAATCCCATAACTCTTATTAAAGTGACAACAATATGTACCTGAAACATTTAAAATATATATAAAATATGCTGTGCAGGGTATTGCTTTATATTCAGTCCCTTTTGTGCAGCTTCTTGTTTTTAAATATGTCATGCTCACCTATACTGTATATGGTGTCCTCTAAAAGTATTAGGACAGTGAGGTCTAAACTGGGGTTTTCACAGACACAGACAGGGAGAGAAGCTGGGGGTCAGAGCGCAGGGTCAGCCATTGTACAGCGCCCCTGGAGCAGTTGGGGTGAAGGGCCTTGCTCAGGGGCCCAAGGGAGTAGGGTTCCTCTGCCGGCCGCGGGATTTGAACCGGCAACCTTCCAGCCACAGGCGCGGATCCTTAGCTACAGTGCCACCGCTCTGCCCTGTGATGGACTGGTGTCCCAACCAGGGGGACGACTTTGGTACTCCCTGTTTGCTTCATGCCATGGAAACCAGGATGAGGTTGGGATGGCTGTACTGATGTGGCTCAGATACAGAACTTCCTTACCTTCCTGCTGTACAGCTGCATACTGTGAAGGGGCCCTGTGCTCGTTCCTCCTGCTGATCGGCCTCAGGACACACTGCTGTCACAGTGCTGCCCTGCCTCTTCAGTCACCCTGATTGTGATGCACACTGTCGCTACCAGCGCTGGTGCCACCAAGAGCTCCACCAGCAGCGCCTCTCTTCAGAGCTCGATCAGCCGCTTTCCTGTGGACTAGTGGCTCATGTAAACCTCTCAAAAATGGAAAAAACATTCATATAAAATTAAATGTAAAAGAACAGCCCTGGTTTGCGCTGGCACGGGTCATACCACTCTGTGAATAATGGAAGTTGAAATGCTAACCTTTTCAAAATGTCAGCTGGAGGCAGCGGCTGGAAATGTTAACACTGAGATTTTGAAGTATAGCACACTGGCACCTCATTTGTGTGATAGGTTTCCCAGGGGTTTGCCATCTTGAAGCACAGAAACTCCTAAGGAACAAGGGCTGTCCAGTCCTGGTCCTGGAGGGGTCAGTGTGTCTGCAGCAGGGCTGTCCAGTCCTGGTCCTGGAGGGCTGCTAAAATAAGCTTTTGAACAGTTAGGAACTAAAGTTTACATTCAGTCTCTATGTGGGGTTGTGAGTTAGTAGTTCATAAGTAAACAGCAATAAGATACTACAACTGGACTGATGGATGGACACTTTAAGAAGTCAACCCAATACAAGGCCAATCCCTGGCACTGTCT